TGCCGTCATGAATGAGGATGGAAGGTTGTTTTATACGTTCATAAGGAGGCGATAAACGGATAAACGACGCGGCGGTAACGAATGATGTCTTCGTGATATTTTAACCGTCTCTATTCCCTTCAGACTCTCCTTTGCACCCCTGTCTTCCTTCTGCGCGCGCCCTTCTTTCGCAGCATTTCCGGGGTCAAGATTCACGGGACGAGGGAGCAAACCCGGGGTAGGCGAGAAAAGAAAAGCGACAAAGGGGAAGGCAGCCCAAGCAGGGTGCACGCGGGTGGGAAAGATAAATTGCGGGCGTAGATGTACCGCCATAAAGAGCGTGCTGACCGGTCCATGACGCTCCCGCGGCGACTCCATGTTTAAGCAGCAAATCGCGCATCGGAGATTCATGAATGCGCGGCGCCAAGTGCCTTTTGATACCCGCATCTGCACACCGGAGACGAATAAGATTCCTATATTTCATCGTCCGAAAGTTGCACTAGTATAGAACGCGGATCATGCTTTCCCAACTGCCCGCTTTTTTACGCGAGTTTTACGTTTTGACGTATAGATAAGAGAATATTACCTCTTCCCCTTAACTTTTATACCGTTACTCTCAAATCTTTGCGCGATCGACGTCAGCCGTCTCTGAGCAATCCGGGAACTTTCTGCGTATCTGTATAGAAATCCGCTCGGAAATTCGCGCACGCGTAAATCCGAACAGAATTATCCGCTCTAATCTAAAGCCTTACACGGCGAACTTTAGAATCCCATCGCGCGCAAGACATCCGGCAAAAGTTTGACTGCATCTAAGAATAGTCGCGCCCCAATTAATCTCGAAGTACATTTTAGACGTTCGCACTTCATTAAACGTGTAATCGCTCGATTAATGAGATGTACGAGATACCGCGGCGTGAATTGCGGCTAAGTTTTGGTGGGGTAATAGAGCTGTTAATCCCGAAAGTGGTGTAAGTTAAGTTTCAGAGAAAGATGAATCAAGATGCGGCATTATTGATGATATACTTATTTTAATGAAATTTTCTAAACTTATCGAGTGTGTGTTAGAAATGAATGACTCAATTTAATATTGTATAATTTGTTGTCGCGAAATCTCCTAATCCCATAGAAACCTTCAAAAGTTTAATCATGTTTAAAAAATATTTCCTAAATAATTACTGCTATAGTTTTAAAAAAGCCGCTTTTTATAAATTGCTGGAAAAAAACCGGAAAATTTCGGTTCTTTTTCTGAAAAATTGATTTTTTGGAAAAATCGTTGTTTTTGCTATGTAAAAGACATAATAAGTAACTTCTAAATTCTTTTATAAAATTAATGCGATCTATGAAATTACGTAGCATTATTTTTATTAAAATTTTTTAGTTATCCTTCTATTTTTATAGTAAAACCTAATCTAACCTTCCTTTAGTACATGGCAAAGCTTAAATAGACAGATTTTTAACTCTAGTTTGTCACACTCCGATCTAATGAACTCCTAAAGTGTCTCTTTATAGTTTATTTTTTTTCAAATATTTTGTTACGAATTCAGTTTAAATCCAAATTATTTTCTAAGATCTATTATTATTATATAAACATGATGTTTGGACTCTATATTTTTAATTCTCTATATTTTTAATTCTTACATTAATGGTGCAATAATGTATGTTTTATTGAATACATTATGTGACCTCAATCTTTTATACAATTTCAAAATTTCTGTTAACTTATCCCGCTGTGAATCCTATACGCGATTATTTTCTTTACGGAAAGAACCGAGAAGCAAACATGGTAGGTTTTATGAGCACGCGTGAATTTTTCTAAAATGAATTTTTCTACCCTTGAGAAAAAAAATCGAAAAAATCCGCGGAAAAATTGGGTATTTTTCCGATCCTTTAAAACTATAATTACTACGAAGAAATGAAATTATTTTGTTTTAGATTGGTACACAAGATAATAAATTAATTTCTAATATTACGTCTTAGAAAAGATCCTCTTTCATCAAAATTAACGCTTATCTTTAACGTTGTTCTTCGGAGTAATACGTTCGATTGATCGAAAAATGAAATACTTGAGGGATGGAGCTCGTAACGTTTTAGCTCGTACTATTGTGTGTTGAAATATCTGCTCATTTCTAACTAAAATTGCCGGAGTTGCACAAAAGGGAGCAATATTGGATTCAATAGTATACCTATGTATGTACCAATGGCATTATTCATTTTATCATATCATTTAATAATATTTTACACGTTATCTGCGTCAAAATTAATTTCTTATCTATAACTACTCATTATAGATATTCTAACACTCCGAGATTTATGTCGATTTGTAACAAATGAATCCTTTTGTACCGGTTCATTTATAAGCCGCAGCAATGTGCTTGATGTACTTGCTGTAACAAAGCATTTTCAATGGCATCGGGAAAATTAGGTCACTCGGTATATGATCTATGGTTTCTAGCATGGGATACATTATGCCGATCCGGTTCGCTTCCTGCGAATATCGTACTATATATCGTGCTTTAGTGTTTTCGAAACGAGGCCTTGCGCGAGCGATCAGCATACGTCATTACGCAGTTCGCAACGCCTGCGGGCAACGCAGTCCGTGCTGCTGAGGAATCAATTCCGGGAAGCAGGGAACAATATAGATACATTTCCGTGGCGTATCTTGCGGATGTTTGATACAGAATAAATCGTATGTCTTCCGTGAAGAATTACGACAATAGAGAAAGATCTACATTCGCAATTTTTAACTCTTCCACTACGGCCGAATTGGATGCAAAACTCTACCGCTATATACGAATAACTCTATCTCGCTTCAACGATATTAGCAACATAATCGGATTCTGCTGCTTTAATAAATTAAAATGCCATATCTGCTGCGTTATTATTTCATAATAAATTACATAAAATATAATTTTATAATATAATTTCATATTTTATAGAATTCGTTAGTATGAAATAATAACGAAGCAAACTATGCCACTTTAATTTATTTATACACAGTGGAAATAAACAGAACAGTATAATGTAACAATATAATAAATGTAAACATTTGCATAATGCAAAGTAAAAGAGCAACTATAATTTCGTTTTAAAAAAACAATTCTAGGGGAGTCACTAGTGTAGTTAAGGAGTTTAAAAGAATATACGATACCAGAACATTTATACCTTTCTTATTTCCTTTTTTATTTCATGATAATAATTATTTTGTTATTGGCTGTTTGCCGAGCGTCTTAAATAGTATACAAAGTGAATTTGTACATGTTGTGTGTCATTCCCTTACTTCAAAGGTAACACAATTTAAAAAATGTGATTTTCGAGTTATTTAGTATAAATAAGATACATGTAAGTAAAAATTACTCTATCGATTATCAAAAATAAACTAATTTAATTTCACAGTCCGTCCACCAAATAATAAGTATTGTTCTAAAGATTTTCAAACAAATCATAATACTTTCTACAAAGATGGCACATTTTGAATTGTATTGTTTTTGTAAATAAAAAGGAGAGTCTATAATCTACAGAGAACATTTAGAATTACGACAATTTTGATCAAAATTTAAAAAAGTTGTTTTATTTTTAATTTAGTCATTTTAACTGATCAAGATAAATATGAACTGTTGGTGATATTTCAACTTATGTCACTTTTGATAAATTGTTCCGAATTTGTTGTAATTTTTTGTAGGAGATTAAAATCGTCACAGCTAAAAAAGAGTGCTTTTTTTCGCAAGGGTTGCGAAAATGACATTTGATTATATTTCAATAATTTTCTGTCTAGTTAAAAAATAGTTTTCTTCCTTTTCTGAAAAACTTAATTTATTGAGCTAAATGTGTCACTTTTGAAGTAAAGGAACAATTTCAATTATAATAAAATCAGAGAACAGTGCAAGTAGACGTTCCAACATAAATCAATTAAGTAAATCTATTTTCAGTCAAACCGGATCTTAGTGCTTAAACATTTCAGAGTGAATTTATATACATGTCCAATTCTGTAAACCGCAGATCTAAGTTTCTAGGTTGAGGTAATATCTTTTGCAACAAATTAAATTATTTACAGTTCTTAAGATACTTAAATTAACATCAAATTATTAATATCCTTTATTAAGCTTGTGAGCATCAAAATTATTAAATCGCTCGTCAATTTAACATGTGATATTACTATTCTAGTTCTATTCATGACTGCGTTTTAAGATCGAAAAAAATTTCGACGTGCAATTTGCAGAATTGGATATATCTGTGATAAATTCACTCCAGCTGAAATATTTAAGCACTAAGATCTACTCTAATCGAAAATCGAGTTATTTCTAGCTCCTAATCGATTTATTCTCGTCTAATACGAATTATAATTGTTCCAGCATGAAACGAGATATATGTAGGCATCTCGTCCTTTAATCGTGTACTGTGAATGCAAAACTAGAATTCAGCGAAGATAGATTCGAGGACACGTATCTTCGCAAATTGAGATTCATGCGATCAACCTACCTACGTGTCCGAGCAGCAAAGGAGTGGGCGTCCTACGGATTTCGCAAGGTCGTGCGACAAGAGCCAACAATGTCCCTAATGTCAGCCGAATAACGATACGCGTAACAAACCGCATTCATTCAACGGCAAAAAAAAACCTTTCGGTCGACAAATTGAATCCGTAGGTCTCAGGGCATGCGGCCGTCCCAACCGCGTACGGAAGGAGGTGCGGAATAAAATCGTAGGTTTTCGGGAAGGAGGGGTGGGGGAGGGGGAGACCTGTCCGCGTGTGTGCGTGGCCCGGTCGCGAGGTGTGCGAACCGTTGGAGAAGCGAGCGTCAGGAGGGAAGACGAGAAAACGAGATCGCGCGCGGCTTCCCGGTGGAAACGGGATAAATCCACGCGAGACGCAGGGAAGAGCGCGAAGGAGCGAAGAGCTCACTTCCCCGCGGGAAGGGCGGGTGAGAGGGAGTGGAAGCTGCGAGCATCGCCGGCGCGCGATGGTGGGGATAAAAGGGCGGTCGCGCAGGCGCGACTTGCGACAGAACTGCTTCGCGCGGCGACGCTCAGTCTCGTCCGTCGCAATCCAGTGCAGATATACGTGCAATTACCCTGTCAACAGTGCTTAAAATCCTTGGTTCGTGCTTGTGCTGCATTTCGTCGGCACACACGGTGATCGATAACGGACGCCGTCGAGCCTGTCGTCGATCGTCGACGCGTCGTGATCGACGCGCGTAAGGACAAAAAAAAAAACTAATAAAAGTGTGGCAGCCGCGGGAGAAAGTTTCGGAAGCACGCGGCGCGCGCGAAGAGATAAATCTGACGTGATTTGAATTTCAACCGCTCTGAATCGTCGCGAAAGAGCGGAGGGGACCGTTCGGCGTGAAGTTTGACGCGAGTCTCTCGGACGGTGAACCCCGGTGGCGCGCGTCAGTCCGGCTGGAACGCGCGAGACGAGTGGTAGCGTCGAAGACGTCGCCCGGGTGCGTTCACCGGTTTCGTCATCGCGAGCGAGTGGTACGAGTCAACAGGAAGAAGGAAAGAGCGTGCCGTGTGCGAAACGAGCAGATGTGCCGGGTAATTTCACCTAGTTGCGTTCACGCGACCTAACTGCCGGCGTGAGTGGTGGATTGTCAGTGTGTCTGTGAGTCGCGAGACCGCGAGTGGTTTGGTCACCGAGGGACCGCTGGAGCTTCCGTACACACCGTCGAGATGAAGACTTGCCACCTGTGGCTAGAAGCGGCCGTCGCTCTCCTGACGATAGCAGGTAAGTGACCTGCGTGTATTGGGACGAGATATTGAAGAACATTCAGGATATTGAAAAACGATTTGTCCCTCGTAACTTTTACTTTATACATTCGGAGGTGTTTGTGTGTGAGTGAGCGAGTGAGTGTGTGTGTGTGTGTGTATACGTGTGTACGTGGGTGTGCGGTAACCCTTAATTAAATGCTCGAAATTGAGCTATTCATTAAGACTCGGTTCCACCAATGTAAGATTAATTTTAATCTCGGTTTTATTTGCTGTTTATCTCTAATTCTGAGAATTAAAAAGTTCTTGGGATTCTATTCTCTAAAAGTGAATTAGTGTATTATGACTGATTACATCAGTTATAAGTGTAGCACTGAAGTCATCAGCGAATATTTACTGTTTTTCAATAATAAACACTGATTCACTTTAGAGGTTATAATTTTCTGCAGATTCAATCTGTAGAAACCATAACTTCTCAAAATGAATCAGTGTATTATTACTGAAAAACAGTAAATATTCGCTGATATTACAGTTATAAGTGTAGCACTGAAGTCAATGATAATACACTGATTCACTTTTAGAGAGTAAAATTAAGAAGTTCTAATTTTAATTCTTAGAAAAAGATAAAGAGAAAATCGAACCGAAATTAAAGTTAATCTTCATTGGTGGAACCGAGTTTAAACACTCTTTATTCACAGCAAGAATTTGCGTCCTTCTTTAGTGCGAAAATCAAAACGTCTAAATTATCGATGTAAAGTTTCGTCGTCTAGTGATATACGTTCCCATACGGACGTGATTGGCTGTACTTAGTAAAAAAAAAAAACAGCTTTGGGACTGTTGTGAAATTGTTTACTGATTAATCTTGCTCTGTTTCTCATTGGATTTCTAGTAAATGTATAAACCAATCACACTTATGCACGTTTTTACCAATATAGATTAATTTCAATCTCGGTTCAACTAATTCTTTATCTTTTTTTAGTTCTGAGAATTGCAAAAACATGAAGAGTAAGTTGAATCGAGATTAAAGTTAATCTATATTGGTAGAAATGGATATTGAAGAATTTTAAAATGATTGCTTTTTCTACGCAGCCGATAAAAGGTTGCGTAACAAGAAACGTAAAAACGCATAAGAAAATTCCTTTCACGTAACCGCGCAACGAAGTACATTCCATAATGTTTAAATGAAGAGAATAAATGCAATTCTTTTGGATCAAAGTTTCTTAACTACATACATTGCATCTTCGATGAATATCATGAATTATAACATATTCATACTTATTTTATAATCTGCAATATACATATAATTTCGCAAGACGATAAGAGCTTTTATCATCTCGGTGTATTTCCGTGAAGTGGAATCATCATAAATTTTATTCTAGTGATATCAGAAGAGCGGATGTGAAATGATATATATTAGGAATTGATAGGAATTCATTGATAAAGACTGACGACCATGTTAAAGGAAAATATCGTTATGAAATAGTACTTTCCAAAGAAAAAAAATTGGCTTTGGAAATCGCGAAGAAACATTATTAAAATCCGTTATAAAACTGCATTTCCTTTATACAAAAATGTTCATTGTCATGAGGACATAATAAATACTTCCTTTTTCTCTTTTGGGACGGCAACTCGCCAAAAAGCCGCGGTGCTTCGCGCTTTTAGACTCAGCTGGTTAGAATTGAAAAACGAGGTGACGATTGTCACCCCATAATGCATGTGTAAAAGTCTCCCTTCGTAAAATAGCTCCCCCGCTGGTTACATCGTCGCGTTTCAACGCTCATCGCGCCGCACGATGCCAGAGGCAAAGACATCCGTGGCTGGACCACGCGCGAAAACGACGACGACTCGTTCGTATTCTGCGAATAACACACGTTTTTTATATATTTCTTTCACAATGTTTTCCGTTGTCGGTGAGTAGGAAAACGAGTTGGATAACAAGTCGTGATGGAGATAATTATTGTATCGAATTCGCGTCTTTCGTGAGAATGTAGGGTTACCGTAGAACTGGAAATCAGGGAATTGTGTCAGGGAAATTGAAAATGGTCCGGAAAATCAGGAAAAAGTCAGAGAATTTTGTAAAAATTTTCTAGAAAATTAAAATTCTTGACTTTAAAGAATTTAAATATTCAATATACATTACACTTACCTACACAGTTTCTGAATACTATCAACTTAATTAAAAATACAAGCAACGTTAGTAGCATTAACAGTAGTAGTAATTTACATTATTATATTATTATTATATTATAAATTGATCTCTCAAATCATTTAACGATTTCCAAACAAAACGTAGATATAATTTTAAAATAAATTATTGAAAATAAAAATTATTAAAAGTCAGAGAAAATCATGAAATTTTATCTGAAAATCAAGGAAAAGTTATGGAATTTTAGATTGAAGAATTTGTGACAACGTTGTAATAGGATTAACAAAATTGTATTAGATTTAATGTGTGTTATTGTATATTCCATACTTCTAAAAAAAAATCGCGCTTCGTTTATAACAACAATTATGAAATAATTTAAATTTACATGCGAGCAAAGCTTTATCCTCGAAAACGACGGTTTTCTCTTCCACAAAAAGAGCATGCCAATTAGAGCAACTTGGGGAAAAAGAGTTGATCTTTTCGTTCTGTGATCCATAAAGCTATTTTTTTGTTTACCGAGATAAATTTGCTGCAATTACGGTATATTGTTTATACCTCAAAATAACAATCGTTGCACGTTAACTGATACCGAAATAACGGTGGAACAAATTGGTAGCATGAAGTTTGAATCGATTGTTTTTTGAAGTTTTCCATTGGTAATCCTTTACGAACTGTTTACATGTACTAGTCTTTTAACAATATAAGTATTTATGTTACTTTCTATTTTCATATAGTGTTGCATTTATAGTGCATTTTGCGTGCGAAATTGTTTCAGTTACAAGGATTAGTGCCATGGGTTTCTGAGAAAAACTTGCATAATTATCATATTTTAGGATTACTTTTCCCGTAAAGGGCCATATTCCGTATGCAAAGAAACAGCTTCACAAATTTTCTTCTTTTTTTTAAGTTAAATCTTCTGCAATATTAATACTTATAAGACAAAAAAAATAGAGTATCTAGATTACCATAATGTTAATTTGAAGTCAGTAATGAACATGATGTACATACATTAATAAGTTGTAAAAGTAAGTCTCTATATTTTGAAGTCATCTATTTGATGGGGCACAAAAGATTTTCTTACGCGTTTTTACACTTTATCGTACGACATCTTTTATTCATACCCGAGAACGTATCATCACGACGAATTTGCACCGATAACTCAGACATTTTGGTGTTAAAGAAGAGCGTAAGTTCTTGTCGGAGAGAGATAGAGAGAGAGAGAGAGAGAGAGAGAGAGAGAGAGAGAGAGAGAAAGTATTTAATCGATGGCTCAATTTCGAGCATTTAATTAAGGGTCTGCATCGTGCTTAATTCAATGTCTCTATCGTCGCGCCGCGGACGATTTCTAGACGCTATCGGTGGTATCTCGTTTCCCTTTGCGTGGAAATTCAAATGCGCAGGACGATCCCTTCACCCTCCACGGCGACCCCTTTTCCCGCGCCACTCACAGTAGCTTGATTACAGTCGCGAAACTCCATTGTCACTCTTGCGCAAACTCATTTGATTTCTCTCGACGCTTTTTCGACGATTGCTATGTTTGCTGGGAAGGAGGAGAGAACGAAGGGACCGAAACGGGGAACACGAGGATGAACGTTTGGGAGAATCGACGAATCTCTCAGTAAATTTACAGCTTTTAGAGTAACGAAATAGTTAGTTTTTTATGATCGGCTAATTTAACAGTCTGGTCTCTTTGCTACGAAAGCAAATTCTTGACGTCCGGTTGATATAATGAGCATGAAGTAAGCTTCAAGGCCTGTGTGACTCTAAAATAATATAAGACACAGGCATTTATTTCTCCTTATTTTAATGTAAAAAAAAAATATATATAGGTTTATTGTAGTCTAATTAAAAATTGCGGTTGAATATATTTCCGCTTTTGATCTAATTTTGATGAGTAAAGTCTGCATTTCATTTTGGAAAAAAGATAATTTCTTTGTGAATTAAAAAGTGTACGTATACATATATTTCATAACTTTTGCTTTTAATATCAAAGGAAAAATAGCAAAATGAAAACAATATCTGTGTTATCAGAAAAAGTTGAGGATACTTTTTATATAAAACAAACTTTATATATGAAAACTTTATATATATTAAAGCAAACGAATAAACTTTTCTAATGCTTCCCCAGAAAAAAGAAATGTGACAATATTTTATATAATAATAATAATTTATGTATTGTATAGAAAAATAACTTATATAAAATTATAATTTATATAATGAATTAATTATTGCATAAGTTCGTATAAAATGATAAATAAATAATATTAGTTGCTTGTTCTAATACTTTTGGCTTCCACGAGTACTTTTCTTTCTATATAGATGTGTTTCGTGAGTTGTCTCCGTGTCTATATCCAATCTTGAAATGCCAATTGTTATCTTGTATCTGCTACTTGTTCTATTATCTAACATGAAGAGTGCTTTATACTAAATCTTTCATGATACATCCATAAGACTTTTTCTTGACAGTTATAGGTGTTTTTATTTTATCATGTTTATCATACAGATATATGTATACTGCAGACTATTCAAGCCTTACAGTATGCATGTTAAATAAAGTAATTCGTTTAAATTTACGATGGAAGTAAGAGTAATTCTCGGCTTGCACAATTAGTGAGTTAAAAAACTACCCACGAGTTGAAAAGAGATGAAAATCCGTAAACTGGAGGCGCGCGCTCAACAAGGGATCGCCAACATTTAATGTGAGAGAATTACGCTTGTACTCGTTCCGTACGAATTTATTTACACGCCTAGCTGTCGCGAACGCATTAGCCGCCCGAATCGAGAACTACGTGTATGGAGTTTAATTACAATTTTGATGAGGGCGGCGTTAAGCTAGGAATATCACGACCGAGTGCTCTGTATAGACATGCGCA